ATATACCTAACTTGGCAGGATGTACCATAGTAAAACTTCCCATAAGTCGGAACCTCTGTAAGACGGAATCCTGCCATTCCGGACAAAAAATCTCAGAACAGAGAGATTTTAAATGTAAAACTGACATCTAAAAAGAAAATCTGTCCAACGCAGAAACGACATGGTTATTAGACAATGTAAAGTGATTACTATGTGGCTAAGGACATTTATTTTTAAATTTACAGCACTCTCTTTGGAATGGCATAGTGTGAAGGGTCATGTCTAAGATAATAGAGTGTACAAGGAGTTTCTCTTCTTATACTTGCTATCAAGGAATCATTGTCAAACTTGGTGACCGTTTTGTGACTTTCTTATACTTTGGTGTGATTTTCAAGGCTTCAGCAAATGTGAGTTAGTCGTTATCATTACAAATCCTTAATGCTGGTCACCACTCCTCTTTCAAGTCTCAAAAGCATCACTACATTTCCGTAAATGGACAGTAGAATTCCAGGAAGGCTATCTTGTCATCTTAGTGCAGCAGTCATACACAGTCACTACACAATTTAGTAAATACATGCAGTATAGTGTAGGAACTAACAAAATTATACAGAAAATACTGTACTTAAGTTATATGGTGAAATTTTGGCAACCCTCTATTAGACAGAAACCTGCCAAAAAGAAAATTTTTTGAAGGAACCGTGGTAAGTTCCGTGATAGACAGTTTTTACTGCATATGCAGAAAAAATCTTTAGGGCTTTCATAGATAGGCTCTTAAAAGCCATCCTCACATGGAACAAATTACACTTTTCCTTCTTAACAACTTTTGCAACATGTCTTCCCCACTTCAGTTCATCTGTGTCTAAAATTTCCAAGTCTGAATGGAAGTTGTTGGATTTTGTTCTGCAACCTCTTAAGGGCACATGGTGACAGGTGATTCTTTCCAAAATGGAGAATAAAACATTTATATATATATTCAATGGTAGATCTGTTCATTTGACCAAATGTATCTGTTCAATGTCTAACTGAAGCTGTGGATAGTTCGCAAGTGATTAAGCCTATACATTAGTATCATAGCAAATTTTGAAACATGTTAACAAATGATGCGACACAGATTGCTTAGCGTAATTTGAGGGAGGGCTTAAGGAGACTCCTCCACCCTTTACCCTTCTCCAAGACTGTACCCATGTAGCCAGTTGGACTTTTTTGATGTCATCTGCCTTCCTTCCAATGATCAACATACAGCTCGGTTCAGGAACTTCAAAAATATTGAAATTCCTTTATATGCTACACCTATCCATCATTTCAGCAGTGACACTGCTCACTGAGGTGTTTGTGTGAGAGCCTGAAATGCAAAATTCTTTAATTTGTAGAAGTGTAATGCCAATGTATCTGGTGTAGTGTAACTGCACTTCTGTAATTTTATAAAGTACATCAAAAGACATCTACTACCTCTCCTAATCAATCTTTTGCAAAGATGGACTCGATACTCTACTTGAACCAAACATTGGTATTAAAACTGGAAAATACAATTATTTGTGAGAAATTCATTACTATAATACAGTAGAACTTTATACATCACATCAAATGAATCATGTTCCTCTAATAAAAATTCGAAGGGCCTTATCAGTGTATTCATATCTAAAAGTGTTAGGACAAGTAATGAAAAGATTATTCCAAAAAAATTGTAACTGCTTTCTTTTCACTTTGAAGCATTGCCCTGTAGTTTAGAAATTCATTTTATCTATATATATAAAAGAAAGTCGTGTTAGTTACTCCACTTATAA